GCGCACAATACGAACGTAATATTTATATTTAATAGGACTTTGACAGGTTTACCTAGAAGCGGGACAATTAGCGTCCCGCGAACACGCATCGCGGGACGCATTATTTGAGCCCTGTATACGGGACGTCCMGCCTCACGCGGGACGGTTGGCAACCCTACTTACAGGTGTAACTGCTTATTGTTTATTAATTCATGATCGTATTGCAGAATATGTACCTTTTACTAGAGATGTAAGAAAACTTGTGTAATTTTATTGAACAAAATAAAAAAGTTTATTAAATAATTTGTGTTCTTTACTTGAAATATAATTTTTATAAAAATTAGCGATATTTAACTAAAAAAAATTAAAAACGGAAAATATAGTTGATACGGTAAATATTTTTTGCMAGGGGCAAATAGGTTGACAATCTTGTGTAATCACCGTATTGTGTTACGCGGTAAATCAGTGTGCTCCAAGGGAGAATTTTCCGCTTGAAAAAAATTTTTGCCGTGGAAAAGCTGGCTGTGAACATAAAAATATATACTACTATAATTATTATTTAAAACTGTATCTAAAAATTTGTCGTATTGAGAATATTGTTATATTTTTATGTTATATGTACCATTTTATTTGGGCGCAAGCCCGTATTAGAAGTCGTTGGCGTTCTAATAGATATTTAATTTCCGTACAGGAATACCGTGCATATGTAAGGGCATCATGCGATATCAAATTACAATAATATAATACCTATACAAAAAGAAATTTAATTCTATCATAAAATTCCTATCTCCTAATTATCATCGCGTCGTCTCCATGGGTGTGTCACCAGCTACCTAAGTGGCAACCATTTTCATCTGCTTCTTATTTGTAGATTTTTTTTCATTCGTCTTCTCAACACCACGTTTTAAAGTGGTTTTTATTTTAGATGTTGATGCTAACGGTTTAACTTTAGAGTCAACGGATTCACTGAAATGTTCATTCTATGAAATATAAAAAATAATATATTTTTTTTATTTAAAAATGTACAAATGGTTTTATAACCAATCTCTAAAAGAAACATATTTTATTTTTTATGTATGTTTCTTAATAATTATAACCATAACGTTGAGTAGTGTTACGACTGACCTCTAATTTGTTATTTGGTTTTTTAAAAAAACTTTACTTACCTCTGATTCTGAAGAAATAATTGATGTCCTATAAGACATTTTTGAGCTGCGTTGTAGACTGTGTTAAGGACTTAATTGAAATCTTGAAGACTGATGAACGTTAATGATTTTACACTGGCTTTTTATACACAGATATTAGCCACTACCACAATAATTTATATATGTAAAATGCTAATGTTAATAGCAATGACTTGAAAAACCTTTCTACAAACTTGTTTTACATGAACACAAGTCAATGGCATTAAATGAACTATTAAAGAAACAGGATCTAAAATAATCACCCACCGACCACCTTGAAAATCAGATTTTATATAGAAACGTTAATGACCTCAAAAGACTTTTCAGCAAACATTTTTAATAATATGAGCAATAATAATAGTATAATATACATCTCTCATGAGAACCGGATTTCAGATATAAAAACGTTAAAGGTTAATAGCAATGACCTGAAAAACATTTCCAAAAAAAAAAAAAAAATGATTATATATGAACATGACATTATATGAACTGGTTAAAATATCAAATATAATCTAAAATAAATTAGAATGTATATATTCAAATAGACTTCTTATATAATAATGTAATAAGAATTTACATGAAAAGACTACAAACATGTTCTTACATGGACAAAAGAGAATRGTATTTTTATAAACTGGTATTAATGGAAAATTATGGAAAATATTTAATCGGAATTTTTTTTTTTCGAAAAAATATTTTATTGGAACAGTATTTCTTCAGAATTTTTTTTTTTTTTTAATCGAATTTTTTCGGAACCATATTTTGTTGGAATTTATTTTTTCAGAAACGTATTTTATCGGTACCGAATTTTGCCGGAACCGCATTTTGTCGGAAACGTATTTCGTCTGAACTGCATACTTTTGGAAAAATAATAAATTGAAAATAATTTTATTGGAACCGCATTTTGTCAGATAAATGTGATTTTGCCAGTTTATTTCTTTAAAAATGCACATAAATTACAATTGTTAAAATGCTGTCTCTAAAAGTATGTCTGGACTAGTTCACCCAAATATTTTTCAAATGCTGTTGAAAATTGAATATTCATTTTCTGATTGTGGTGAGACTCTTATAACTTGTCTACACTATTTCCTTGTTCTGCACATAAAATTTTTAACTTATAACACTTATATTTTACCAGTTAACATTATGAATTATATAATTATGAGAATATGTCATTATGCTGTCCAGTCCAACAGGAAAGAAAAAGTAAGCAAACAAAAAACAAACTGAAAACTGATGTATTCAGTATCTAATTAAAAAAAAGTAGCAATTTTCTTACTCTGGGATAAGCATAATACATTTATTTTTCATTTTTCATTATTATATAAGTACATTTTTTTAAACAACAAAAAAAATGTTAAAAATAACAAATAAGAAAAGAACTATTCCCAGATGCGAATAGCCACATTGCCGTATTGCAAATGGGACAACGTTTATCAAGTAGCTGGTTGACGCATTCTTCACAAAGTACTTTGTGACCACAAGGTATTATTGCGTGTGTTCTTAAACTATCTTTACACACGACACAAACTACTTCATTATTCAGAACTCCTTCCTGATAGTTACGATTAACTTGGACATATGGAATATCTAGCAGAGGTTCATCCCTACCATACACTTCCTGCCACATTTCTAACGCCAAATCTTCAGGAACAAAAAAATCACGTTCATCCCCTAGAATAGAATTTAAATACAATACAATATAGATTATAAAAAATATAGCAATATAAATTTTTCGATTTGTCTTACAGTTATGTTCTTCTGGCTCAGGGTTTTCATTTATAGCTCTGTTAGGAGGCTCTTGAGGTTKTAAATTTATTGATTCAAATATCCGATAATGAGATATAAAAATACAACAAATTATTATCATTAACATTATTAAGAACTTAAATTAAAAAAGTAAATATAATACTTATAATWATAATWATAATAAATATATTTTTGTAAACAATGAATAATGCAATATTTAAACAATAAAATTATCAAATTTAATCAAATAATACAAAATATATTCACAATGGTAGGTTAATGAAAAAATAAATATATTACCTTCATTCACAATAGGTTCATTAGATACAACTGCTCCCCTTCTTCCAGGTCTTAACACAAACGAAAAAACACTATCATTAGAATCGCTGTTCTCAATTTCATTTACATGCTCGTTTTGGTCATAATCTATCACATCAATAATCAAAAAATAATTTAAAGTAATTTAAACTGTAACTGTAAAAATAAATATCTAATATTGATATTTTAGCTTACCTATGTTTTCTTCATTGAGTGGAATTTGCTGTACTGGATTTAATGGTAGTGCAGCATTTTCATCTTCTGATGAGATTTCAACTTCGTTACCATCAGGGACGGATTGGGCCATAGGGAAATCGGGAAATTCCCGATGGGCCGCGTACTAAATAGTAAATAGTAGGTAGAMGTAAATATAATAAAATAATTAATAAATATTACCATTGATTATAGATTATATTTTATTCAATGATATTACGTAATAACAGTAACAGTCTATAATATAATAACGTAAAACATTGTAAATTGTAATAATACAAGTACCTATACAACGTGTCAACGTCTACAACAGAAACTGAATAATAATATTAATTATCAATAAGTAGTACCAATAACAGCTGTAATCAAAAAATCGACTTCCGTGGATAGTAAAATCTAAAAATAATTGGTTATTTGGGTTGTCGTCGATCAGATGGGCCGGCGGGTTGAGGGTAATGACGATGAATATTGAAGATACAATAGTCGATGCGGGCCGTTAATATGAATACCTAATAACTAATAAGAATATTTTTATTTGAAATTTATTTTATTTATATTTAAATATCAATCGTTATTCAAAACCTCGATGTCAGCATTCGGCAGTGAGCACAATTTGGTTAATTTTAATAGTTGTGAAT